CTGTACACATCCGGCATGCATCGCTGAAAGGTTTGGGAAGCTTTGTTTCGTGAAAGGCTGGGAGAGGGCGTGGCCTCTGAGTATCCCCACGTTAGAGTACCCAGGAAGTAAACAATGGGAAAAGAGAAATGTCCAACGAGGCGTTCTGGGGCAGCACAGACAGGTCTTCTCTGTGTAGAGTGTTACTCCCTACAGGGTGAAGCTACAGAACACAAGGGGGCGGTCAGAACCAGAGAAGCATGACGTGGGACCTTTAAACTAAAAGGACTTTAATAAATGTATGAAATATGAATCCCTGCAGAGTGAAAGTAGTTCAATGTAGCTACAATGTGCAGCGAGGCGGTCATTATGGGTAAAAGAACAGCGGTCTTCATCAAAAAAAAATTTATTGACTTAAAAATGATCGTAATTCTTCCGCTAAAAAAAAAAAAACACGCACCAACGGCTGGAACTGTGACAACAAGAACTTTACGGCAGCACTGTCCAACTCTGTTCACAGTTTCTGATCCACTAACAAGTCCCTAAACTCTGCAGAGCTCATACCGTGTTCTGTTCACTTCCTCTGTTCATCCATCTGACGTCCAGCGCTCCGTCTTTTCCTTTCTCTCTCTTGATCCTCCTTAGCAACGGTCATTAGTCCTGGACGGCGGTCTGTTCTACTGGATTAACAACGTGTCACGTGTTCTGAATTGACCAATCAGAATTGAGTATTCAACAAAGCCATGTGTTGGAGCTATATATCTCTTTATATTATTTAATAGTTTATCATTTATTTTCTTGCTGTTTATTATTATCATTTATTTATATGCATTCTTAGTTAGTGCCATAAATTAAAGTAGTTTCTATGCTTTTATTTTGAAGGCATGTTTTGGACACTGGGTGTTAGAGCACCTGGTGTAACTGTATATATTGGAGACAGGTGGTGGTGGGAGGCAAACGGTTTTTTATCAGGGTGTTTCAAGCCAGCAAAAGGAAAGCCATAGGAAAGGCTTAAGGAAAAAGGATATAGGAAACCTGTTCGTTGTACTTTGTTATTGGAATAAACTGCACAAATGGATAATCTTGTCTGGACCTGGATCATTGCCCTGCGTAAGATCCGCTAACTAGTGCCTCAGCGGCTGCATTATTTCAAGTTAATTATCAGTTTTATTTCTATATGATTTTGGCCGCTACACCGTGTAATAATAAATGATATTCCCCCCTCAGATGTCCCAGTGGAGCAGCAGAGGCGCTGGTTCAAGTCCAGCTTCGACCACCTGCGGCTCATCGCTCAGTCTGAAGACGCTCCGGAGGCCGGCATCATGCTCAGCTCCGGGTCAGTCAACCACTCGGTCTTATCAACACGTTGAATATTCCGTTTTATAACTTCCTCCTCCTGCAGCTGGCAGATCTTCCGGGACGTTCCTGAAGATAAAACTCCGTACTGGTCCGACCTGGTGCTCGGGTTCAGGATCATGACGGAGCGAGAGATGGTTCGATTCCCGGAGCATCGGTTCGGACAGGCGTTCACCACCATCAAGTGTGAGTGCAGCCGCTACCTGCCCTGGCTGGAGAAGAGGTAACCGCGCATTAAGACTGATTCTAATCAAAGAAAGCTCATTCATAGAGCAGTATTCACACACGAGACAGAGCTCAGGGGGCTTCATGTGGAGTGGAGAAGAGGTAAGACATGCATGATCAACTCTCAGTCGTTCATAATACATAATACACGTACAGTGGGGCAAAAAAGTATTCAGTCAGCCACCAATTGTGCAAGTTCTCCCACTTAAAAAGATGAGAGAGGCCTGTCATTTTAGGTATACCTCAACTATGAGAGACAGAATGAGAAGGAAAAAAAAATCCAGAAAATCACATTGTCTGATTTTTAAAGAATTTGGTCAATAACAAAAGTTCAGGATTTGAGTCCCTGGCGGCGTAGTGTGTTACTGATGGTAGCCTTTGTTACTTTGGTCCCAGCTCTCTGCAGGTCATTGACTAGGTCCCCCCGTGTGGTTCTGGGATCTTTGCTCACCATTCTTGTTTCTCATTTTGACCCCACGGGGTGAGATCTTGCGTGGAGCCCCAGATGGAGGGAGATGATCAGTGGTCTTGTATGTCTTCCATTTTCTAATAATTGCTCCCACAGTTGATTTCTTCACACCAAGCTGCTTACCTATTGCAGATTCAGTCTTCCCAGCCTGGTGCAGGTCTACCATTTAGTTTCTGGTGTCCTTTGACAGCTCTTTGGTCTTGGCCATAGTGGAGTTTGGAGTGTGACTGTTTGAGGTTGTGGACAGGTGTCTTTTATACTGATAACGAGTTCAAACAGGTTCCATTAATACAGTTAACAAGTGGAGGACAGAGGAGGCTCTGAAAGAAGAAGTTACAGGTCTGTGAGAGACAGAAATCTTGTTTGTTTGGAGGTGACCAAATACTTATTTTCCACCATCATTTGCAAATAAATTCTTAAAAAATCAGACAATGTGATTTTCTGAATTTTTTTTCTTTTCATTCTGTCTCTAATAGTTGAGGTAAGATTGTCGGGGACACAGGGGAGTTGTCTTCTGGCGGGCGACGTAAGGTGTTCTGCGTTCCCTGGAGATTGTCGCCCGCGACCCAGGGTTTTATTGTTCGCAAGCCTTTGCGTTCCCTATTAATGTTACCTTGGTGGGTCGGTCGTTTCTGCTGACGCTTTTGAGGTTAGAGGGAAACTGTACTTCGTTCCACCAAACAGGGGGTTAGAACAGGGTTAACCGAAGAAGGCCCCAATTTGTAACTTGCACGTGAATGGACATATATGTCACCCCGTTTTCTCATAAATCAGGTCGGTGGTTAACACGTTCAAGAGGTGAATTTTTCTACTGCTCCGGACATTAGAAG